GTTTAACGCCGAGTCGGCAATATTTCAGCCACAAATATCGGAAATAAGTATTTTAATTATAGATCTATGTAAGTTTAATACATTTTATGTTATTTGATTAAGCGTTAAAATGAAAGTAAAATTTAATGACGAGAAATGTGAATCACATAGAATAAATTCTAAACACACTTTTTACACTGCTTATGTTGAGAATAAGTATTTTGATTATAGATCTATGTAAGTTTTATAATTATATTTTTATTTATTTGATTTAGGGTAAATATGAAAGACAGTTTGATGAGAAATGTGAATCATTTATAATAATTCTAAAAAACACCTTAACACTGCATTTGTTTTTAGAAGGTGACCCCGTCTTTTAGTTTACTGTCAGAGCCCTCAAAACGGAAGCCGTGTTTATAACACATGAATTAAATCTACGCTATATGAAAGAGTGCATAAATTGTTTTGATCAAAATATAAATATTCTGTATCAAACTGAAGAAAGTAATGTGAACTTTTTTTCTAAATCAAGTTAATGAAGCATTTTGTAAATATAAACTCAAAATATTGATTGTAAAACACAGCAGTAAACAAAGTACTTTCCTGCGTAGTATTATGACTGCGTACGCATCATCCATTGTTTACTTCCGGAAAAATATTAATTCGGACCAGTTGAAATTCGGACAATTCAAAAAGTTTTCTAAACTTATCAATTATTCAAATTTCTTTTTCAAATTAAATGAAAAACGAGAATTTATATTATTCAACGTTTTGTTTTTAGGTTTTTAATTGAAAAAATTATCAAAACTCGTAAAAAAAAAATCACATTTGTGAAATCTAGCATAAAAATTAATTTGACCCCGTCTTTCAGTACTGCCTCAGTACTTTGACTATTCTTGTTTTAGATCACCTGAGTCACTCAGATGACCTATTGTTATCTTTTTGTGCGTCGTCGTCCGCTGTGTGTTGTGTGTTAACATTTGAACATTTTCAGCTTCTTCTCTGAAACTGCTGAACTAATTTTAACATATGGCATCTATGGGTGAAGGGGAGCAAAAATTGTGAATTTCACCCCCACCCACCCCCCTTTAGGACCTGAGTGGTCTGGCCAAAACCATTAAACTGAACGCAATTTTTTAAAAAATTCTTCTTCTTTACTTCTGGACATCAAACATTCAAACTGTTGGCAATAATATAATGAGCATTAAGTCATCTACCAAAATTTGGAAATTCATGACCCCAGGGTCAGGGCTTCTAGTGCTAGGGTGGGGCTAAAAAGATTATTTAGAGAAAATGCATTATTTCTTTGAAGATCTTCTTCTCTGCTCATGAGAACTAGCTAAGTACATACCCGGTAGTTATGATGAGCAAGAATGCCTCTACCAGAATTGTGAATTTATGGCCCAAAGTCAGGGGTTCTGGTGTTAGAGCGGGCTTCTATTGACTATGAAATGCATTAAATCTTTGAAAATCTTATCTGCTTCTGGGTATTAAATAAACTAAATAAGTACATAGTTATGATGAGCACGAATGTCTCTTCTAAAATTGTGAATTTCATGGCCTATGGGTCAGGGGTTCTGGTGTTATGGTGGGTCTCTTTTGATTATTGGTGAAAATACATTTATTTAATTCTTCGAAAATCTTCTTTTATGCCTCTGACTATTAAACAAATGAAGTACATAGTTATAATAGGCAAGAATACCTCTTCCGAAATTATGAATTTTATGGCCCCAGGGTCAGGGGTTCTGGTGAAAGGGCGGGTTCTTTTGATTATATAGTGAAAATACATTAAATCTTTTAAAATTTTCTTCTCTGCTATTGGGTATTAAGCAGATGAACTACATGTACATGTACCTTTATAGTGATTATGAGCAAGGGCCCTTCTTTCAGAATTGTGAATTTCAAGGCCCCTTGGTCAGGGGTACCATAGAGAGGGGACTCTACTTATACACTGAAAATGAATTAATTGTTTGAAATCTGCTCCTTGGTATTAATTAAACATTTTTGATTAGCAAGGGTCCCTCTTCAAAAATTGTGAAATGTGCGGATCTAGAGTCAGAGGTTCATGCATGTGTGGTAGGGGCACTACTGATTATTGCTGAATATTACTGATTAGTTGAAAATCATTTTTGTTTCCTTACCTTGTCTATGAGTATTAAGTAACCAAACTAAGCAACTGCAAAGTGTATAATTATAATGAGCAATGGTGCCTCTTTCAAAATTGTGAATGCCATGGCGTCTAGTTCAAAACCTGAACCAAATTCAATCAATGGAAAGTTGTTGCATGATGCTCAGAAGACCTACATGTATAAGGCCCATGGGCCTCATGTTTATACAACAGGAACATCAAATGCTTAAATCATAAAGAGGAAATACAAAAGCCAGCCCCCCCCCCTTTATGTATTTGAAATGGTTTTGAGTGAATAAATGAACTTGAACCCCCACGAAATCGAGGATCTGCTAAACAGCAAAAAAAAAGTTGACTGGATTTCCATTTTGTTCGCTAATACAGAGCTATCTGTAATTCAGTTATGTATTGTTGCTAGTAATATCTCGCTACATAATCGAAATTCACAACTTGATCCCATGTTAATGTCTTTTCCGGAACGTTTCTATTAAAAGTAATGTTATTAAGTCCCATCTGGAAAAAATGACGTTGTCCAGAGTCCAAAAACTACCTTATGGGAAAAACTCGACAGAAAATGACAATATGACAGCGCAGTTAACCGTGTTGATGGTTGTTGAGTGTGCGGGTGGTATTTCAATTTTTCATTATCTATGAATAAAGTGTTTTTCTGGCGGTAATGAGTCCTCTATTTAGAGTCTATTGATTTAATAAGTTAAACCAATACGGCGTTCTCGACGATATTTTCCGCCTCTAAAGTCGTTCGATTTTCAGATAATATTCGCACACATTATTGTTTGCAACTGCATTCAATATCTAAAATGTACGCTTAATTGAAATTATAAATTTAATCAGCATTATGTTTTAAAAGTTTTTCCTTTTTGGGAGAAAAAAATTATGGCATCAGTTTTCCACAGTGACTGCTGTTTGAACATTGCTGTGCGCTGGTGTTGAAAACAAAAAAAAATATGTTACCAAAGTGTATTTCAGTTTAATAGCCGTTAGATGCTACCTGGTTATTAAAAAATAGATAAAAAATTAATCTTTTTTAAAATGATTTTTTTGTCTTTACGGTGAATAATTGAAAAACACTGCTGTTTGAACATTGCAGCTCACATTCATTTATGACTTATCGAATTCCATTTATGATTAAAATGTTGAAAAACAATAAAAATGATTTTTATACATGTATTTTTATTTTTTCTTGAAATGTAGTGTGTTCAGTTTCAATAGTTAGTAAAAAAAATGCTACCTGAAATGATTATTAAAGTAATAAAGATTTTAAAAAATTAGGTTACAGCATGATTCTTACATTCTTTTGAAATTTTAACAGTAACTAAAAAAAAAAATTGTCAGAATTTTTTTTTATGGATCTAGGAATGAATAATTGAAAAACGTACTGTTAATTGTTGCTTTGCCATGGAACTTTAAGGAGTCGGAAATAAATGAATTTTGCTTTTTGGCTTATTGCTCAAAGAGCAACCTTATGTGATCCTGATCAAGGCATTTTTCGCCATTTTAAAGTTACGCGCAAAAATAAAGTATCTCAACCGCTTTTAGATACAAACGCTAAATAAAGCAACGAAAATAAAACGAAGTGTTATCTATATAAAATAAACTTTTATAATCTTTGAAAACTTCATAACTCAAAGAACATAGTTCAATAAGGATTTTTGATAAAGTGTTACCTAACACAGTTTGCTTTTTACATACGAGGAACCACCTGTATTTTTATTTCACTTAAATCAAGATTTGAATGAATAATTCACTAATAACGTTTTATGAAAAAATTGCTTATTATTTATAATAGTCAGAATATAAACGTGATTCATGTAAGAAATTTTTTTAAATGTCTTTGATTATTAATCAGTAACCACAACTTATGTCTTTTATTTCACTTAAATCAAGATTTGAATGAATAATTCACTGATGACGTTTTGTGAAATTGCTTGGTGTCATCCGCAAACCAGAGCCACCACCTTACTCCCGTGTTTGCTATTTTGAGGCTGTTAGTCGAAATGAAAGTAGACATTTAATTAAATTTACGATAATTTCTTATAATGAAAGAGAAAAGTAGCAGTTGATATAAAATTTACAAAAGCAATAATAGAATAATGACAAAAACTGATAACAGAATTATGACAACTTGTGTGCCTTTGAAATACCAAAAAGAGTGTGAAAAATTCCAAGAGGAGAAAGTATGAATTCTGGAACAAGCATTTAGGAGTTTATTTGCAAAATTCTTTACTGATTTATAAGTATATATAATAGTCAAAAGGGTTGGAGTTACATGTACATGTAATTCAGCCATATTTCGGGGCGAGTAAGGATACTCTTTGTCGGGTAGCAGGGAAATGTTTTATACATGTAGGACATGACAAATCATGCTCGTATATTGTAAAACAAGCACAGGAAATTAAATAGCAGAAATGATTTGATCTGTTAGAACAAGTAAAATTCAATAAAACGGGGGAATGAATCGATGCAAGTTCATGAATGAATTACAATTTTACAATCAGAAATCATCTTTAATCATATTAATGACAACGATACATGGAAATATACAACCATGCAATTCAAATTCTAATTTTTAACAGTCTGCCGGGCTGATTAATTATATTAATCATAATCTCTAATAAAGAACTGTCTTACTCTTCAACTATTAACGCTGCACATTATTAGGTGTTCAAGTGGAAAATTCCACTGGGAGACGCAACTTGATAATCCGGAAAACTTGTAAATGATTTTAGATTGCATCGATATATCTAGAGGCAAAATCAGTACATGATTTTCTGCTTTTGAAAAGGCAAAAGTAGTTCATAGAACAATTGCTATAATGCCTGAGTATGATATGGTATGCGGAAATAATTTCTTTTATTCTATTTACAATGTACAGCAGGGAAAGTCAAAATTTACCCTGGATAAACCAAGCTAGTCCCAGGTGGACAAGAATCGAACCAGGAAATGTGAGTATACAGCAAGATCACCAAACAAATATCAATTTATTCAGAAACAATCAATTTTTAATGAAACAATTTTATCAATGATCATATGTATCATCTGCCAATTCGACAACAAGGAAAATTCAATTTTATTTTTGCAGATGGCCTTAGTTATGAAAAAAAGTATTGCACACAAAGAGAGCAGCAGAAAATAACACCCGAGTCGTGGTAAAGAGAATTTATCATTAGGGACAATTGTTGTATAGTTGATTATACACCTTTGTTTTGTAAGCAAATACAAGCAACACGCCGTCCTACACATGAGGCTACCGAGATTCTATCAACAGAAAATCAATGCATCGACACAAAACGTTGTCATGATTTTGTAGACTCGCGACAGTAGGAATCATGGAACTTCCAATTTAGAGGTCTGGATTAGAGTGAAATTCAAAACTTAAAAAAAATGAGTTTAATGTGTGGATTTGCTGGAAAAATTGACCAAAATGTAACCGAAATAGCAAATTGTTCCATGAATTGTTCTACATTAAACTGGATGAATAGTACTTCCACAATGAGTTGGATTAGTACAAAGAATGTGATAAATTCTGGGATGATGTTTGCCAGTGGTTTCTTTGGGAATCTGTTAGCTTTAATTGTGTTGCTGAAGTCCAGTAAGGAGCAGAGAAGGACGATATTTTACCGCCTGGTCGCCGGACTGACCATTACGGATTTGATAGGGACCACTTTGGTCTCGCCTGTCGTTATAACGGTATATGTGAAGAAAATGTGGATAGGCGGCGACTACTTATGTACGTATTTTGGATTTATGATGATAATGGCAGGATTTTCAACCATGACAATCGTATGTGCTATGTCTATAGAACGGATATTGTGCATAAGACATCCTTACATATATTATACTCGACTATCGAAAAAACATGCCACTTTTATTTTAGTCGGGTGTTGGGTGATATCGGCAATCATAGCTTCATTGCCTCTTTTGGGATTTGGAGAATTTGTTAGAAAATACCCCGGAACATGGTGTTATTTTGACTACTACTCCAAAGAGCCAGTTCACATAGCATTTAACTACTTTATCAGTATTTTAGCCATGAGTATTATTATTGTCACAATGGGGTGCAATTTGACTGTCATTTACACAATTCTGAAAAGCAGACAAAAACAGGGAATTCTACGGAAGGAGGATGGTACATCGCGGTCCATTCATGGCGCCAGCAAGCGTTACGCAGAATGTCAGATGCTCATACTGTTGGTAGGGATAACTGTTGTCTTCAGTGCCTGCTACGCCCCGCTTTACGTACGTATTTACAACGATTTAAGTTCATTTGATAGTGCATACAAAGAAACAGATTAAAGTCTGGTCATTTACTGGACCGTCTGGAATGCTTTGTTAAGCTGTTTGATATTAATAGAGTCGGATCGTTAAGAATTAGGGATTTGTGTAAGTGACAGTAATTGTTTCCATGTGGTCATTATTCATACGCACCGACAGCTTTTTCCGCAAACAAAGTTCTGTTCCAAAGTACATGCATGCTATAAGCCAATTAGTTAATAATTTATCGGACAATAACCAATTGTATAAATAAAGACTAACGATTTCCAATTGCAAATGCTTAGTGATATGCTTTTTTCAATTGCGAAAATATAATCACATCGAAAAACTAGAGTGTGCAAGGAACGCATGTGTCGCCTGCTTTTAGCTTCACTAAAGATCTAACAAAATCAAGAAAAGGTCAGCTATTTATCTGCTACAAGCATATAGTTCATGCAATAAAGTAATAAATAAATAAAAATCCACATGCTCAGATAGTAAGACTGCGACAAAATCTGACAATCGAGAAGATACATTGTATACAAATCCCTAACCCCTCAAAGCTAAAATAGATATTAATGAAATTTAAATTATTATTTGTCAAGACATTTTATTAGTAAATTTAATTGATTTCAACAATCCTTTAAAGATGCTTAGACACAGATTTGAAGTTAATATTTTCTCAAATTTTCTGTATTATAGCACGACATATATTGCAATAGCAATTGCAAGGACGTGTTAATCAAACCCGACCAGAAATTCGAATTTCAATAACTTTGAAACGAAATAAGATTTTTATTATATTTTCTTGTGAAATGCTATTGCAATATATAAGTCGTAATATTACACAAAAAATTGGATAAAAATGTTAACTTTAAATCTGTGTCTATGCACCTTTAAAAGAGACGTTGTCTTTAAAGCAATCACTCATTTTGGAATACCGATCCCGATGTATTTTCATAGTAAAATTTTTGTGGTTACTGTATCTCATACAGTGTGAAAGTACATTGTCATGATCTCATAAACATGAATGAATGCTAATTATCAAATCCATGCCTCTCTTTATTCAAAAGGAGTAAATACCCTCTGTTGTATACTTTGCAAAGTAGGTCAAGGGTCAAGGTTAAATGGACTGGAACGATGGTATTTTTCAAAAAAATTTATGACAGTGTACATTCTAAATAACACAGATTTGCCTCTAAAATGTTTTTTTAAAAACAAGTTGTATATCGGCATTGTCAACTTTTTCAAAAGTAGATCAGAGGTCAAATTGAAGGACAACTAGGTTGGAAACCATGGTAAAATACAAGAGCAATAGTACTAAGCTATATATATGTGCAAAATATAAAATCTATACCTCTTAGAGTTTTCGAGACATAGGGTGTTACAGACGGACGGACAGACAGACAGACGCCGGGTAAAGTGATCCCTAAAACCGCTCTGCTTTGCTGGCGACACAAAAAATACAATGTGTGACATCATATAACTTTCATAAAACAAGATACACTTTTTTAATGCCAACTCTAACGCTTTTAATAACTTTTGATATTATGGTTCTGATTGCAATCAATTACATAATACATCTGTAACATAATCGTGCAAAAAAATTGAGTATGAAAAATTTCCTGTGATTGAATATAACACTATGATCGAGAATAACAAGAATCATGAATAATTCATTGTTCAAATTGAGATAAATGAGTTTGAGTCCATATAGTAAATGCTGATTATAAAATTGATACTTCATAGCAATTTAATAGTTTATTTCACCACCTTTTGCCAGACCATTTCTCGAAATTTCTAAATATTCGTTTAGCATGTAGCTAAAGATTTGTGTCAGATGAATTTTTCTAACCTCTGTTTGAAACAAGTATCCCTGCAATATACAAAAACCTCTCTGGGATGATAAAAAGCTTCCTACCTTCTTTGGAATTTCTATTTTTTTTTTTTTTTTAAATCGGTATAAATGTTCCAGTGAGGCTTTGGTAACAAATTTAACATTTGTCTTCGGGTACGCAGTTTCTTAAGTCTTGAGGTTAATTTGCTATATACTCTAATTTATCAAAGGCGGTAATGACTTATCCTACCCAAGCGCCTATAACACAGCACACAACCCTTGCAACCTTACCTATGGATTTTTTCAGAATAAAAAAAAACCTATAAAGATTGTATATACTCTAATATATTTATCAAACTGATTTTTAACAGAAAGATGCATATACATAACTTAATAGCTTTTAAAGACGTATTCTTTTTCAAATAATTTTGTGAAATTTGAAGTTCGTCGGATTGGAAGTTAAAGAGTGCCATGGTTACGGTTTACAACCACCTTGACAGAAAGAAGATCGTTTTTTTGGTTTTTTTTTTTTTTTTTTTTTTTTTTTTTTTTTTTTTTTTGGGAAAGAAGATCTTTCTTTGCTGGTTTTCAAGAAAAAAATAGGTTCAATGGGGACAGTTTTAAAAATCTTTACAGGACAAAAATTCTAACTATCAAAATATGGATAGCATTATGCACACCCTGCGTTTAATGACAAATAATAAATCATTTTAAGGGTACATTTACTGACTTTTTTTTTTATTACATCAAACAGTTATCTTGATTTTAGTGATTTCCTGAGGAGTAAACATCTGAAATAATGACATTGATTTTCCAAAATATCTTGGTGTTAATTTCAGAGGTCACCTTGTTACTCAATCGCAGCAATTTGATAAAGGTAACAGATGTCGTCCAATGGGACATTAAGTCTCTATATAATTCATGGCTATTTCGACCTTCTACAAGGTCAAACCTATCGTCTTAAGGTGTAGACCTTTTTAAAACCATTATATTTAAGATGCAAGTTTGAGTTGTTCGTAGGATGATTTTTTTTTTTATTTACCATATATTGTATATTAAACATTTTGAAACTGAATGCATAGTAAGAATTGGATTAAAATATATATATAACTCCTAGGTCAAAAGTTTTGCCTACAAGATGGGACAAGTGTTAATTCCCATCAAGCCGAAATTCGATTTTTGTTATTCCCATGTAGCCCAATTTAGGATTTCAGCATCTGTCTGGTCACATGAGTATACTCTGTTTTAGGTTTAGAATCTGTAATTATCATCCAGCATAAATATTTTCGTTGGATGTATTAATAATTTTAAAACAAATGCAAGCAAATGTATATCATTTTTAAAAAAGAAAAAAAAATCCATTATTGGATCATGATTTTAAAATAATGATGGATACTGATAAAGATACAGTAACAGATTTATGTGAACTATGAACGATTTTATAATAGAAGAAATAAATAATTTGACAATTAAATCGAGATAACTAATTTTTTTACAAGAAAAAAAATGAATTTATTTGTATTGTTAATTAATGATTTCCTTTGAAAATATCGGGACAGTGAAAAGCATGAATGTAATTATTTCAGAAATAATAACAAAATAATCTGTTATATATGAGATAACAATTCGACTATCAACTTGCATATATTTATAAGATATTTCGTCCACATATGTAATAGATAAATAATAGATTTTTTTTATGATCAATTTTATATATGATTAAATACATTTTATAAACGAAAACCATTTCGCAAATTCTATGATCTATACAATGAACGCATAATGAGTTCGAATCTCAGGTGCGACTTGTTGACCGATAACTGTGCCTGAATACTGTAAATCACTTTATTCGCGAAAACTTTATTTTTGCGTAATTACGCGAGACAATGCATTCGCTAAAATTTAATTCTCGTATTAAAGTTTTCCTTACGATTATATTGAGGAATGAAAACAAAAAACAAAAGAAATTGTTGAAATATTATGAAAATTATGTCTCGCTTACACTGATTCAATGACAATCTCGCGAAAAAAATGTCGCGAAAATTAAGTGATCTACAGTATTGGACAGGAAGACAGTATATTCCGTAGTCAGATGTATAATTTTAAAAACAGCTTACCTTTGATATGAAATACAGCTAAAACATTGAATGGTTGTAGTCGTTAACAGGTCATTACAACCATGGGAGTTTACGAAATGCTGACTTGAAAGGAAATTCATGTAACATCTACTTATTTGTCAGTAGGTAGCCTATCACAGTTTTAAACTTGACCGTACTTAGAGCATCGAATAATCGTAAACAAACATTATAGGGTGCAAAGCACAACTTTATGTATGACGTTATCGTGACGTTATCACGTGAGGGACAAGCAAAACACACCCCTATAAAACAATATGAATATACACTATAAAGTTACATGTGGCTTGGACATATTCGAGCATATTTCTGTTTGACATACTTTAGAAACGTCTGAAATAACTGGACTTGCTCCAAATTAATTTATCATGGAAACAAAAATCAATTCTGGTTAGCATGGTATCACCTTAGAATTTATTTAGAACGATGCTTTGTATTCTATTCTTTAAGGGGGAAATAATTTCCGTTTCTATTGTAAATTATGATAACAGGATGAGAAATCCACAATGTCATGTGTTGCAGATATCCTAGTAGTTTTCTGATAAAATATTAATGTTTACATCGTAAAATATGGGCTGAAGTAATGAATCAAGATACTTAAAGAAGTAGCAAGAAAATCCATTATTTTTTAAATAACCCGAGGGTGGACATTTCTGAAAAAAATCTAAGAGCGTCTCGTCTGAGAGCGCTAATAGACATTGTCTTGAGACCTACGTAAAACATTACAGTAATTATTCCAAGTGTACCAAGAATTCATTCCAGTACAACTTATATATATTGACCTGATTTCATTTGTCTCCTTTTAAATATATTCGACTAAACTGTATTTTCAACCAAAGAAGAATACATATCATGTTATTTTTTTTAGACTACGTATAATATACTTCATAAAATCTTTTTTTTATCTCTGCTAGTCAGAGACCTCAAGAGATAACGCATTAGTAAGGTGGCTGTCGTTCCTCTGTTCGTCTTTCAAAGCAATTTTCAAAATGCTTCTCCTCCTACAGATTTGA